GTATATATGTGCCTGCATCCATTACAAGCATGCCTGTGGCCGCATGATCACATCTGGTGCCGTATCGTTGCCAGCTGCTCTCAAAGCACGGTTTGCGTCGGTTTGCTGAAGAGAGCAAAGGGCGGCATGGGTGGTGAGAAAGCCAAGACCAAGAGAGCTGCTGCAAAGACAGAAGTTGAGGACCGAGGAAGAGAGAGAGAGCGTAAACCCAGGAGAGAAAAGAAAGTGAAGGAGACCCCGAAGGAAACCAAGGAGCCGAAGGAAACCCAGAAGGAGCCGAAGGAAGCCCGCAAGGACCCCAAGGAAGCCCGCAAGGAGCCGAAGGAAGCCCGCAAAGAGCCGAAGGAAGCCCACAAGGAGCCGAAGGAAGCCCACAAGGAGTTCAAGAAAGCCCGCAAGGAGTCCAAAGAAGCCCCCAAGGAGCCCAACGAAACCGGCAACCGGCCAAAGGAAACCGGCAAGGAGCCAAAGCCAGCAAAGGCAAAGGAAGGACGACAGGAAGACGCAAAGGACTCCAAGCGAAAGGCCGCGGACGAGTCGAAGGGTGTGTCATGGAAGCATGCCAGGGTCCTTGATAAGGCAGCAAATCCAGGCCCAGCCGCCAAGCCCGTGCTGCGGGTTCGCAGCAAATCGGCCCCGCGGGACGAGCCTGCAGGCAGTGTTGCCGGCAGCAGCAGCGGTACCAGGACTCCGAGTAGGCTGCACGACAAGAAGGAAAAAAACAAGAAGGATAAGAAGGAAGGCCCAAGCCCACCGGTCCCAGCATCCAAGAAGGAGCCCTCCGCAAAGAATCTGGAACCCATCTTTGATGCGGAAGCCAGCGATGATGAAAACCAAGCAGACCTTGACGTGGATGAGATGCTTGCGATGATGGAGACCTCGGATTCCGAGGGAGAGTCCTCGGAGGAGACCCCCGAGGAAGAGGAGCAGGAGGATGAGGAGATGAAGGATGAATCCCAAGGCGAGGATAGTGGGGAGGAGATCTCCATCCGGGAGGAGTCAAGTGCGGGGTCCAGCGAGGACTCGAGCACTAGCTCAGAAGAGGAGGAAGAGGATGAGGAGTGGGAGGATGCCGACGCAGCGAGCAAGACACCCGCCTCGGAGATCGTAGCTGCTGCAAAGCAAGCGGAAGAAGTGACAAAGAGAAACAGTGGCTTTGATTCGATTACCACTACATAGTGTCTAAATTTTCAATCGGAACATAGGTGTGTGTGTGTGTGTGCGTGTGTGTGGTGGACTGCACATCTGAGGCACCACGCACAAGAGGGAGTGGGACACATTCTCTCGGCAGTGTCAGGATCGCAAGAAGTTTCCTGTGTCGCTGGCAAGCCACCTCCAGCGCGACAAAACGGACTTGTTTAACTTGTGGCTCGACAACAACCAGGACCTCCAGAAGTCCCTTGTCTCCAACTTAGCATATATCCAGCTGTAATGCACTGATGATATTAATATCAAGATAGATATCTACCATAGTCCTGATGTAAAACTACACAAGGGTGGCGATCGTGGTGGAGCGATCCGTGCAGCAGAAGCTCACGTCACGTTCTGGGTTTGAGGCTACCAAAGCCAGAGACATCATAAAAAAGTATGGTGAAACGAAGGGGCTCAAGCTCATCAAGGCTTTGAAGGGCAAGGGACGCTATTACTACGATGATGAGTTTCCCGATGATGAGGAGGACTCCTGGTTTAGGGTTTACGATTTAGGGTTTAGGGTTTAGGTTTAGGGTTTAGGGCTTCTTGTTAGTATTTCACTACATAGGACTGTAGGTGGTGGGTTTCTGCCGCCATATACTACACAACCTTGAACCCTAAACCCCTTTAGAGTTTGGCCGTAAAGCCTATGAGCCCTATCTAAGCCTTAAATCATTTCGGGTTGTCGTCCTTGGTAGGAATACTGCATATAGCTTGTTAAAAAGCTCGGCTTGTGAATCCATCTACTTTTTTCGTTTATCATAGATGGGCTCCTACGTAGGATTGTGGGTTATGTGTTGTTATGAACATGCTATGCACAAACCTCGAACCCTACACCCCTAAAGCCTATATGACCCCCCAAACCCAGAAAGCTATCAAAGATGGCCTCCTACGTAGGATAGTGGCTTTTGGCCTTCAGCAAACCCCAAACCCTAAACCCCTAAACCCCTAAACCCTAAACCCCTAAACCCCTAAACCCTAAACCCAGAACGATGATGAACCCGAAACCTCTCGTGTTGAAATATATGAACTAAAAACGCTTTTGTGTACGCATGTTGTCTTTTAATATGTACACAGTCTATGAGCCCCAAATCAAGATTTTAAATCGGTTCGAGTGTTTATCCCACGCAGGAAATCTTCTACTACACCCACGCCCCGCGGCAGATTATGAATGACAACAGCACCTCCAGCAAGCTGAAGATCGAAGGCAAGGAGGCCAACCCGGACACAGCCCTCGTCGCCTCCCTCACCGGCGAGGAAGGTCCGCTCCACGCGGGTGCCATGCCTGGTATGAAGATCGAAAGCGGAGAGGGGGAAAAGGAGTTGGCTCTGGCATTGAGCAATGGTGGTTCGGTGGGCAAGATCAAGCCACCCAAGAAGACCCGCACCGAATCGGCCGAGAAAGTGCTGCTCACGACTTCGAAGGAGTGCTTTGCTGTATGAAAGGCATACGATGTTTTCTTGGATTTTGGAACCCGGAGCTCTATCCACTCCTAAAAACCCTAAACCTGTAACTACTTCAAATCCTATATAATCCTATATACAAAAAACCAAAATCCCTTAGCCTGGTCGCTTGATTCGATTACCTATCTAAGGCGTGCAGAGGCCATGCTAGACGACATCCTAAAGGACAGCGGTGCTGCGAGAAAATTGGCTTTGGGCCTGGAGCACGTGCACTACGGGGATAGGTTGAAGCAGGAGCTCATGAACTTCAGCTCGCAAATGGAGGGCCTCTACCGGAAGCTGCAAAGCCTCATCCTCAAGAAGGTAACCAAAGCCAAGAAGTACAACCCGATCCTGATTGAAGTGGAGGCAAAGAATGCTTGGTACAAGTCTGCAGAGGCCGGACATAGCCAAATCCGAAAATAGCCCAACCCAACACTGTGTCATCGTGCTCTAAGCCTGCAAATATCGACTTCCCAAGT